AAGGAAATGTAAATATAATTGTGGCGTGCTGACACAACCGTAAGATAATCTGCCGAGCGGAGGCGCTGCCACTGCAATAAATCGTAATTTATGATCCCTATACGCCCGCCGGTATCGCCGAGAAATTCAAGACTACGCGGACAGAGACTTAGGAGCAGGAGGAAGAGAAAGAAAGACTCCTCTCTTTCTATCCTTCGCGATGTTCAAGCTCGCGCTCTGTCTCTTTTCCCCGCCATCATGCTCGTTTCTACCCGCTCCCGCTTCGCCCCGTGGAATGGCCGAGAAAAGACAGAGACTCTCGATCTGGGCTCAGTCGATGAGCATGCTTTACAATGTGGTTGCCTTGCCTTCATAATCTATCGCTGTCTCTGTCCGGTCAGCGTCGGCAACTGGAATATAGTTCTCTTTCCTCCTTACCTATCTCTCTCTTTCTCTTTCTTTCTCTCTTTCGCTCGCTCGCTCGCTCGCCGGGTCCGTTAGTTTTCTCCGTCTTTATCGCACCCGTCCGCCTCGTTTATGTCTTGTTCTCCTAGCCTCCTCCGAGCTCTCGAGCACCAATAAATTAATTGCGGAGATTTACGTATCTCGCCCGTAAACCAGTCAGCGAGACTAATGCCTGGACTCTAATTACATAATTATATGGCATTATGTTACGACGGCCAATTAATACGCGCATACAACGATTCCGAAGTGCGAGTCGCGCGCGCGGCGCGACGAGTAAGTAAGTGAGCAAGTAAGCCGCGTCCTCCTGTGCGATCCTCGCGCGCGCGGAGCAGCGTCACGCTCCAGATCGCCGAATACGCGGGCCGAATACTGCGACGTCGACGCACCTGCGTGCGCGCCCGGCGATCGTGATTTATCGTCCGCGAGGATGACAGTCGACGCACCGCCGGCGATGCTTTATGGCACGAATATCGAGAAGGATTCACACACCGATCGTGTTCGGATCGCGTTCACACGGGGCGACGTGCGTTTCGTCGGAACGTTTCTAACGTTCTAACGTAACGGTGAGGCCACTTCAACGACGATGCGAGAATGCGTCAAGAAGCGGGGACCGCTATTATTCGCTGCCACTCTCTCGCTCCCCGGATTTCGCGGATCGCTCTCTTCGAGGGGCCCTTCGATGACTATTACTTCCTCTCGAGGACGTATTCGCGCGCGCGGTCCAGAAAGGACACTTTTCCCCCCCGCGGGAAGGAAACGTACGGCACAAACGAGCGGGGGTGGAATATGAGATGCGGGCGACTGATTTATTTAAGGGGCAGACCAGACATCCGGTTTGTCGAATTACGCTTTAAGAGTGGCCATGGTAGACGGACTGACAGATACAAACAGAGACAGACGACGGGCCATGCGAGCGAGCGAGAGAGAGAAAGAGAGAGAGAGAGAGAGAGGCAACGACGTGGAACGAGAGCGCGTAGCTCGTCGACCCGTTAACCGTTTATCATTGCATCGACACGAGTCACGCGGTGGACCCTACTGGCCACTTAAAAAACGGCGATTCAGCCTTTAGTAGGAAGTGACGTCAGCTTTGGAGGTACACCGTGAGCGACTGTATCGGCGCGACGTAAATCTCGACGACTCTCTCTTTTTCTTTCATTTCTCCTTTCGTCGAATATATGATCCTAGCTATCGTCGAGCGGGCGACAAGGACTCAGCAGAGACATGAGACCTGACAATCTGACATCTTGCAACAATTATCATCGATCAGATTTCAACTGTAGCATTTTGAATTCCACCTGGACCAGCAAAATATTTCTCCGAGTGTTCGAGAACGAGTCCCATTGAAACGATATCGCCCCACCAATTATTGCGAGCACGATCAGAAGATCATCCGCCTTGACGACTGCGAGATCTCCCTCGTTTTACACCGAGTGCCAGTAGGAAGCGGCCCGGCGACGACCGATGCATTATTAATGTCCCCTTTTACTCGTTACCACTCTCGTATTTACTCCTGCTCGTGCGATCCGCAGGCCCTACGGTTCCTGTGCAAATAGTCATTCAAGTCTCGCGAGCAATCACGCGAATCAAGGAGGAAAAGACTTTTGCACCTAGCCGCACTGTCCATCTTGTATTCGCTCGAGATTTCGCGAGATGAAACAATCTCTCTCGAGATCGCCCTTGACGTAAATTTACTTTTCAAATTTTATTTTTAATGCTTTTTTCATAGTAAAAGACTTTTTATAGTAAAAGAATATTTAAAATACATTTGGGGGGAGGAAGACTGCAGTGTTGATTACTCCTGAAAGCGCCCGATTGGCGGTTCTCTTTCCACTTGACACGAATACTACAGTAATTTGCAATATGCGGTTATATCACGAGGCTATCATTCGCCACCATTGCTTGTATATTCCGTCTGAAATTTTGCCGAACCTCCCGTTCACACGTTGCCTCCTGTGAGTAAATTCACGTTACGCGTCCCTGCAACAGAGCGGATCCTCCAGAGTTGACCGTATAACGATTCCAGGCGAGATACGAGAGCGGGCAATCGAGAGGGAGCGGAGTCAGTACATTATCGCGAAGATGACGCCTATGACAGCATGTGGGAGTAGCTGTCACTCATTGTTGCCTGGCCAGACGTGATATACCCAGACATTTCGCTTCGTGATATCGAGAGATTCGCCCGCTTCAAATTCTTACCCTTCGACCTCGGGACGGGATCAATAAACCGGCACGTGCAAACACACACACACATACACACACACACACACATACACGCGTGCGCGCGACTTTTTTTTTCAGATACAACGTCCCGTAAAAAATACGCCGTCGAAGCGATCGCTAGTTCTCGAGAGGATATCGACGGTGTAGTCACTCGAAGCTGAGGAATTTGATCCGCGGCCGAAAAATAAAACCGACGACCCTGAGGATCAACCCGTTCCGTTCATTCGTTCGTTCGTTCGTTCGTTCGTTCGTTCGTCCGTCGCGCGATCGTTACGAATAATCATTCAATGAGTATCTTCTCTTCGTCCAACCGTCCCGTGGCTATAATAACACTTCGAAGCTTGCCAGTGAGAAGCGGCGAATTGCCTCAGATTAATCTACGGTTTGTTATTCGCGAATCGCCGTCCGATTCACGCCGAGGGAGCCCTGAGTTTATCGAACTCGTTCGCGCGAATCTCCCTTTGCGCTCTTACCGAAAGCTAACCACTCTTCGAGGTAAAATCTGTTATGGTTGCTACAACCACATTCTCCATGGTTAGAAAAGAAATTTATGTCAATTCAGGTTAAATAGACATTACTTGAAAAATTACTGTTGTCTCAAAAATTGTTGCTGTATCCTCATATATAGTTGTCTCAACCGAAAGAATACTTGCTGTCTCTTTCTTTCTTCCTCTCTCTCTCTGTCTCTCTCTTTATTGTGGTCTGCAGAACAAATACTATGAGGAGAAAAATACTTGAAGATTTATATTTGTGAGATATAAACTTTATTTCACAGAAATAATTATTTTGCAGAAAAAATCTTATATCCCACAAATAAATTTTCAAGTATTTTTTCTCAGTATATGGTTGAGAGAACAGTGTTTGGCTACGTCATACAACACAGAGAGTTTCACTCAGACACGTATGGATAGGCGGCAAAGAGAGCCAGTGTACCACTTATAGAGTACTATACTCTTCCCACAACCCACAACCCTTCTGCACGCATGGGCGCGAAATAACATTAACATCTGGTTGCGGCAATCATATTCAGCCAAATGATAATATCTCCTAGCGTTTCCTCCGTGTTTACGCAATTCGATCCGACTCACACTGACGATCTGCAAGACATTTGCTCGTCCCATTCCGCTCGTCGGTCATTGCTTTGCCGAACCGAACACGTACTCGCACTTATGGCCGCCGCCGACGAGCTGACTCGCGAGACAAACTCGCAGTCAATCGCGTTTCGCGGGCGAAAGTAATTCCGCGCGTGTCCCGGCCGATTCGCGGTCTCCGTCTTCGTTTTGTCGCCTCCTCTCTTGCGCGTCTACAGCGGCCTATTCTGCACGAGCGTCATTATCACACGGCTACACCTACAGAATAAACGATCGAATATTTTACGATGGACATTCGTCGCGCGCGCTTCTCCACACTCCCAGCAAGCCCGTTGATTCGTAAGTCGTACGCGTCTCCTTTCCGAGTCGGGACTCCCCCGAACGATTTAGGTATGCCGGCAGCATTTTCGACGAGAGGTACGTGTGCTCCGTCTTTAATCGAGATCGAAATCAGCCGACGCGCCGCAGTCAGTGGTGCGCGTATACCCGGTGTGCAGAGTGTCGCCGATGCAGAAAGCACGTTTCCTTAACAGGATAAATAAGAAACAGGGAGATCGGAGAGTTTAACGCCTGTATGAGATTCCGAGGACGGTTATAGGTAATAACCGGTAATGGGACGTTCTCTTAGTTTACGTGCACGCTATTTTGCGGTAATGCATGAGTGCGCTGCACCGTGTCGTCATAGTTTGGTTGACAATCGCACGTCTCGCATATTCTGCAGCTTCTGCACACTCCGTGCAGAGTTAACGACGCTCCGCGAAAACGCTCCGCGAAAACGCTCCGCGCGTCGTGTGTGTGCGCGTGTGTGTGTATGTGTGTATAAGCACGTCGTTAATCTCAATTCTGTCTTGCTGCAGAAACGCTAAATTGATCGAGGTTTTTTTTTTCTTTAAGACGTATCTCCCCCTTTTCTTTCAGTTACTTATGTAGCGCTTGCGATTGAGAGAAAATGTCTTCTGGGATCGGACACTCTGTATGCGTGTCCACTTACGTGGACGTTTGGAGAAGGATTTCCGACGCACGTTGCCGGGACACACGCGCTTCGCGGGCCCTTTTGCTCGCACGAAGGAGAACTGTCGAAAACGAAAATAATATTCGTGCACGTCCGCCACTGATATCGTCCCGCGAAACTCCCGCTCGCGCTCCGCGAGTTCGTGTTCCCTTCCGAGATTCCTGCGCTCCAACGATCGTCGCGACACGCAATACGCATTGATTAATTCACGAATTTTCTCTTTGACGTTACAGAGGCCACCTTCTTCGTCACTTTCGTATCCGGGCGCGGGTGCTAACGATGATGCACGTAGTCCCGGAAGCGGTGGCACACCTGGACCTCTCAGTCAGCAAGCGCCAGCCAGCCTGGATTCATCAGATCCTGGTAAGTAGCATTATTGCGACGAAAAAAACAAAGATAAATAACATAATAAACCAGCGATTTTACGCTTTGCACGCATATCCGGAAAATGTTACGATTTTTCGACGGGGAACGCGACAGCTTCGTTAATATGATAATTAAGATAAAAGCAACAGTTTTAGGATGCGTGCTTTAATTACTAACTCAAAATTTTACGTGGTTGTTTGCGAAATGATAGAGAGATTTTGCGCTCACTTTGACGAGTTCTATCTACACACAACGAGTATGTCATTAATTGTCAGCTTGTATACATATATATAATTTTTTTTACGTTAAAATATTCCTATTTAAAAACTAAAATAATAAAAATACTCAGGAATAAGTACATGTGTACGGGCATTGGTACTCTTATCTTAAACGTACTCTTGGTACTCTTATCTTCTCTCCTCCGTATATATAATCATCATATCGTGGTCGAAACCAAAATCGTTGATCTAAAAGGAAAAGGATATTCGGGATCAGGAAGAAACTTCACGACACGTGAAGACACGTTAGATTCGCGTCCAAAGGTCGCGCGGAGTCGCGGGAAGGCACACGTGCGCGCAGGTGACAAAGAATTTTCGGATCGATCGGTCGAGGCGGATCGATGGGACCTAAAGTAGGTCTCTGTCTCTGGCTTTCTATCACTCTCGCTCGCTCGCGGGACAAGAAACGCGCGTCCTGAGAGCGACGTCGCGCGGGTGACGATGGCTAGGCGGGCTAATGACAATATCACGCGACGAGCAACGAGTTGATGACAATCAAGACGCGGCTAGCCGGGACCCCACGGAACCTTCTACACGCCCTTCAAATTTTACGAACACGGACGCGAGCGTCTACACCATCAAACTCGCGGCAACGCCACCGTCGAGGCTAATGAGCAGTCCGTCGCAGTGGCGTAGTCGCCGCGAGAATATTATCGTTGCACGGCGTGTTTACACACTATTTCAGCGTCTCTTGTCCCTCTTGAACGATTGATGTACTTTGTTGCGAAACCGCGTTGCATAAAGTCGGATCATATCGTATATTCGCGCGAACATATCTCGTTGCTGGACAATTATCACACATTCCACCTGCATTGGCGGTGGAAAAGAGTAGAGTACGTTTGCACGTTTGTTCACCTCCCGTGATTTATTCGACCGGGTCGTTAGAGCGAACGTCCGTCGACGTTCGCAAAGTCGTATGCAAGTTCGGTAGCGGCCATTCTCGCCGCGCCAATGGTTAGCGCGACCGTGTTCAGTCAGTCACCGGAGGGTATACAAGTTCACGACATCATCCCATAAAGATTCATTAAGGTCCGCCGTCTCTCTATATTCGCTCTGTCGTGCCAACATTATAGTGCCGCGTGGCGTGCCAGTTCGGCCGGGCGTGCACGCACATACATACGTGCACACGGGCGAGAAACAAAACGGTTGATCAATAACAATCATAAGCGCGGGTTACGACGGGACAGAGACAGAGAAAAAGAGAGAAGGAGAGAAAGAGACAGCCGTCGATTATCGGAGAAAGAAAGAGAGAGGAAGGAGCGAGGGGGAAACGGGGAGGAATGAATGGTGGCTGTCGGCACGGTGCCGCGTAACGCTCGAGTTAAGCAGTCGTCGTCGTTGCATCCTCGTTGTTGCTTTAATATTCGACGATGCTAATGCAGCGCGTGCAACAACCGCCGTTTCGTGACGAGATACGTATCTGCCGTCGCGAGATTTGTCGCGGAAAAATGTCGACCAGCGCCAGGCATTTCTTTCAACCGCGTCGTCCTTTTAATTCCGCCGGTCATTCAGTCGCGCGCAAGTTTGCGGCTGTTACTTTGTGAGGAGGTGAACGGCCTGTGATCGTTTGTATTTCGAGCGTGCACCTAGAACCTCGTCGCGTATGTAAGAGCGATGTTTTTACGGAGGACAACGCGACGCCAAAGTTTGCGGATTCGTACGCTGAGAGAAGAAATGTTTAATAAATAACAAATATTTATTCGCGCGCTGAATTCTAACATGTAACATAGAATATTTCTCAGATATATATAAAAATATATGCATTTTCCTGAAACCTCGGCCTTTTACGAAAGCAATTGTTTGCTCTATTTAAATAAAAGAATTTATATTTGAGCAAATATATGTTATCAGCACCCACGGAATAAATATATTTTATTTCTTAGATATTCTTTCTCTCATAGTGTACGCGCGATCATTACATTGTTTCATTCTAAATATCGACACACACACACACACACACACACACACACACATATACACGAATTATGGAACATGAATTATATTAGCGTTACTCCGTGAGTCGGGAGCAACAAGATGGAGACGCTAAGTACAGAGGACGATCTCTCCCTTGAAATTACAGAACGATATCGACCGATCCCCGTGCCGGACTAATGATATTGTCTAATGGAAATTTCGCGTGTCGCTGGTATTTACGAGCTTTTCTCGGCGTTTAATTACAAATTCGTGCGAAGATTACAGAGGCGGGGTGAGTAACGCGTCACTTAGCGGGACGCGCACTTTCGATCGCCTCGTTTGAGGTGTTGTTCGCCTCTCCGCGGCGAATTCCTGCGAGATTCCCGGCGTAGATCGCGCGCTTCCTACGGGGCGTTAAGTCATCCTCAGATTTAATATTCGCGAGAGCGTGTGCGTGGATATCTCGCGCGCACGAGCGCGGCCCACGGTTGGTTCGTGACGAGATATCGATCTTCCGCGCGAGATCTGTCGCGAAGGAACGTAGAACCCGGGAGTTTCGCACGTAGCGGAACTATGGAAAGTGTGCAGCCGTTGACGCACGCGAGATCGCGGGAGAGAGAGAGAGAGAGAGAGAGAGAGAGAGAGAGGGAGGGGGAAGGGGAAGAAAAATGGATGGCTCTGCTGCGCCGACGGGAACATGATAATAATCCGCAATCGGCGCTTTCACCGAGCGACGATAGCGCGCGCGTTTCGTGAATGTCTACGAAAAAGAAAGAAAGAGAGAGGAGACACGCTCGCGTTGCTCCCGCCTCTTGTCTCTGCTTCGCTTTCTCATCGCCAGCACGTTCTAGCCAAGGCTAATTAATCGATCGATCGATTGATCGAGATCGCTCGCGGTTTCTTCTCGGCGGAAAAACGCGAATCGTGAATCTAACGTGTAAAAGACGCGCGAGTGGCAAACACTATTGATACACGTCGCATTCTGATTACGCGTAATTGATCGAAGACGCTAAGAAAAGGAAAGAGAAAAAAGACGTTTTATTGATATGCATTAGGATCGAGGACCTCCCATCGAGCCTGTCGACATCAATTACGCTCCGTACGATAAGACACATCGCCGGTGTGACACGTGTAATTATCGATTAATGGAATTATCATTATCGGATTATATCGCGAGCGCGCGTGAGACATGACACTTCCGTTCCTCGATATCGCGGACAGCTATATACACGCGCACGCGCGCACGATTTTTAATTACGTTCTCGAAGAAAAGTGGGCAGCTCGTAATGCGGTGCTATCCATAATGTCGCACCGCGTCTCGTATCGCTTCACGATCGTAGTGTGCGAGCAGCATGTTGTTGTCGCTGCTGCTGTTACTACTGCTGCTGCTGCTGTTGTTGTTGTTGCCGTTGCCGCCGCGTGTACGTGTACACGTCATTAACGCGAAAGCACGTTCACGAGCTTCGAGAAGCGAGGAAACGATACGAGCGTTGAATACATTAACGAACGCGGTCGCTCGCGCGACAAGTTAAAACAATCGCGCTTGCATATCGCGCCTTGAAATGTCACCAAACCTCCCGATCTGACGATCTGCTCCTCGATTCAGTCCTCGGCAAATGAGACCAAAGACATACCTCTAGCATCTCAAATATCTTTCCATCAATTTTCAACAATAGCGCTTATTACTTTCCGTTTCCCTTCTCCGCATTTTGTTATTTTCCGCACGGAGGGAGTACTATGGATTTTCTTCTCCATATAACTTCAAATTCTCAAATATTATGTAGCTTTCTCTTTATATAAGCTCTTTTTAATTTTGCTATGTTTCTGGTAACCTGCGAATAGACTGTCAGAAAGATCCAAGCAACATGATAAATTTTTTTAATAAACAGTAAATTTTGTTAATAGCACATACGAAATGAAGAAATAATGAATTACTGCAGAATGTCGATATTTACTATTCGGTTAAAAAATTTCATAGTAATTCTTGCTGCAGAATCTTCTACGTGCATATTCATCTCGCGTCATGTGTCGCGTCCAACAAAGATATTATTATCATTCAAACTTTAACAAAGTCTCAAATCGCTGGCAACAATTAGCGAAAACACAGACGGTGCGTTGAGAAACCGGCAAAAGATCGTCCGCGACGCGCACGTGCTCTTCCCACGCGGCCAATTTCGCGAATTCTTCGCGAGCGAAGCAGCCACGTTTGTTGCGTGTATCGAGGTGAATTGGCAGGAGGATGAAAGCGGGCCTAAAAATATCGGACAACGATATCGTCGGCACCCATCTAGCAGCGACTCTTGACGGCGTTTCGCGTGGGCTACCGTACAGGTCGATTAGGGAGTCTCACCCTCGCGTTACACGGCGAGTATTGACGCGTGTAGACTCAGTTACTTGTACGTAGAACGTGTGCTCGCGCGCGCGCGCGCGCGCTGGCTGCTTACTTAATGTCGAGATGCTATCGACGCATCCGGGGTTGTCAGCGTACGACGAGGTATTTGCTCGGCTCGCTTTCCTTCCTCCTTTCGGTCTATCCCGCAAGGTTCCTCTCGTCTTTTCTCTCTCGCCGTCGTCGTCATCGTCGTCGTCGTCGTCGTCGTCATCGTCGTGGTCGTGGTCGTCGTGGGCCCTCATTAACGTGCCAGCTTGTTTGCCGCGAGATATCATCGTGGACGTCCGTTTTTCGGACGGCCGCCTCCTGCGCCGCCGATAGACCGACGACGTCGTCGGCGGACCTAATTTGTATTCCATCACTCGTTAAACGATAGCCCCGCGTAGCTTTACCGTTACCTCGCGGCCAATGTT